CGGGTGGTAAAGACTGGGTGGTGAAGGATCAGTTTGACGTAAACAGAAAAATGTAAAGTTCTTGGTTAAAAAAATACACCCACATACACACACACACATACATAACACATCACAATGGAGATGATGTAATGTGATATTAATCTGGAAATTAAAAAAGAAAGGAAAACAAGAAGGAAGAAAGGAAAGAAGGAAGGAGGGGAGAAAGGAAGAGGAAAAAAAAGTTTTATCAGAGGCACTCTTGGAGGGTCCTTTCATAAAGTATGCGTTTATTAGAACTTAGAGAATTTAGAACTTCCTGAAGCCTACAACACTTTTTTTTTCTTCCATACAATGAACAGAATCAGAGACTAGGCAAATTTCACTCAGGTTATTTTCTTTTAAGTTTTTTCTCATTTAATGGCATTTTTATTGCATCTTGAAAATGGTATTTTTATTGCATCTTTAAAACATCACACATAGAAGTAACAAATCATTGGTATTTTGCTTCTGTTGCTAAAAAGTTTGTTTGATCTTATTCATCAGACTGGTGAACTGTTACCTTTACAGCGACACATTGCGGTAGTGGAAAAGATGCCATGAGGATGCTAGGATGCTAGAGACAGTAGAAGGCAAGAGCGGGTGGTAAAGACTGGGTGGTGAAGGATCAGTTTGACGTAAACAGAAAAATGTAAAGTTCTTGGTTAAAAAAATACACCCACATACACACACACACATACATAACACATCACAATGGAGATGATGTAATGTGATATTAATCTGGAAATTAAAAAAGAAAGGAAAACAAGAAGGAAGAAAGGAAAGAAGGAAGGAGGGGAGAAAGGAAGAGGAAAAAAAAGTTTTATCAGAGGCACTCTTGGAGGGTCCTTTCATAAAGTATGCGTTTATTAGAACTTAGAGAATTTAGAACTTCCTGAAGCCTACAACACTTTTTTTTTCTTCCATACAATGAACAGAATCAGAGACTAGGCAAATTTCACTCAGGTTATTTTCTTTTAAATTTTTTCTCATTTAATAGCATTTTTATTGCATCTTGAAAATGGTATTTTTATTGCATCTTTAAAACATCACACATAGAAGTAACAAATCATTGGTATTTTGCTTCTGTTGCTAAAAAGTTTGTTTGATCTTATTCATCAGACTGGTGAACTGTTACCTTTACAGCGACACATATACTAGCCAAAATTTTTGATAATCTTTTTAACTGTTCTGGCTTCCTGAATCAAAGCAGCTGAATTTGAAAGAAGTTTCATGTTGTTTCCTTCAAGAAACAATTCATCTTTCTGAATTTGAGATACTAAACAAGCAACACCTGGTTGCATCTAAACCCTGTGGCGTTCTCATCCAATACCTTTCCAAATTCAATCAGGGACCTATTCATTTGAATAATAGTGTGTATGGGAAAATGAGCATACACACACTTCATCTTGCAATGGAAGCCCAATGTAACACCTTGTGTCATATTTTGTACATGTTTACAAATAGTGTGAACTGTAACTGATTCCTATTTCCACATTTGTCAACCCAGAGCTTTTTTTTTTTCTATCTAAGTCTGATTTCTACACTGTGACTGAGAACATGGGTAGAGTTCTTTTTTTTTTTTTTTGGAGGGGTTTTCGCCAGAGGGCGCAGCGCATGAGCTTGCCAGACAGACAGAGACAGACATAGAGACAGAAACCGAAAAATCACCCCCCGGGGGGATGGTCACGCCGCAATCCCTTCTCCTCCATTCTCCTCTCAGGATCTTGGGCACACACGCACACGCGCCCAGCATGAGTTCTAAGCCACCAGGTCTGGGACGCAAACTGTGGCCGACTACGTGAGAGTCCAGCGACATAGCCATTATGCTAACTGCTGGTTCCCGAGAACAAGGGTAGAGTTCTTGAGACCTGTCACAAAAACTATTCATTCCTTCAGAGTGATGTTGATATTTTCTGGAATGTCAACATCTGACTACTAAGAATGATCTCCACTCTCAAGTAAGTATAACAAAATCATGTTTTTTTTTTTCTTTGTATTTGTAAATTAACATATGATGCATATTAAATATGATGGCAAGCTTGAAGGGGAAATACCTGAAACTTTTTTTCCTTTTCTTTTCAAAATGATTTAGTACTATACAAAGAAAGATTTATTCAATATATAACATCAACACAGTGAATAGTTTAAGGCGAGTCAGGGGCACGGTGACTAAAAGCAGCTGGATCCGATGATTGACTCCACAGTTCAAGTCCCAGACCTATTAGCTTAGAAGACACATGGGTGGATGTGTAGGCATGCCCAAAACCTCAAGAAAATAATGGAGGAAAAAATACTGTGGCATGGCCATCCTTGCTGGAAAGTGATTTTTCTCACTCTCTCTCCATCTCTCTCCAGTGAGTGCACATACCTTATAGCAAAACAAAAACTAACAAAGAAAAACTTGAAAAGTTATGGTAGTATTTGCAATTACATGTAAGAATACTGAAATTCTTTAATGTGTAAGAATTACAGCATTGCTGGTGTTGTAATTCTTAAAACAGAGAGAATAGGGGCTAGCAGATAGCAGGGTACTATGGTGCTAAACTCCCACCTGGTCAACGTGGTTCGAGTCCCAGACCCAGTGGTTTGAAAAATCACACCAAGCATACCAGTGCGTGCCCAAAATCTCAAGAGGAAAATGGAGGAGGGATTTCAGTGAGACCATGCCCCTGGGAGATTCAAAGCACATGAACTAGTTACATTCAGATGTTTGTGTTTAAATGCAAACACAATAAACATACACATTTCTCTTTTCCCCATCTCTCTCACCAGTCAAACTGCAGTGTAGCCGTCCAGGCTGGGAAGATGGGTGTTGATTTTTCGCCTTTTACTCTTTATTCTGGTGAGCAAACACACCCTATGTCAGAACCCTTATAAATCAGATATATTTTATCTTGTTTCATTGTGAACTCACTGTGAAAAGTTACTACTATGTATTTCAGCTGGAAATAAAAATTCTGTGCCTGTCTTGCCTCTTTATTTCTAAGTAGACAACATTAGGTTTCACAGGCTTACTAGTAGAAAAAAATTTTGCTCTGACAGTTATGCCTGGGACCAGCCCATAGTCTCACAGTTAAGTCTGCTGGATTTCATATGGCCGACCCCCTGGTTTAAGTACTGAACCCAGTGGCTTCAAAAACACACTGGCTATTTGTGCAAGTATGTCCCAAATCCCAAAAGGAGGGAGAAATGGAGAAGGGATTGTGGTGTGGCCACATCCCATAGTGTTAACTTCATAATTCCTTTTCTGTCTCCAGCAAGCACATGCATCTCAGTCACATTTTTTAAAAATTATGCTTTAGTCTCATTTTTGTCTGATATACATACTAGCCACTAGTGTTCTGAAGTAGTGCTGGAATGAGTTAAATTTTGCATTTATTGAGAGGGAGCTACTGTGTTTTGCATGTCAGAAAATAAAACGTGAAGTCTAGGATGGAATACTGTGGCATAAAATTATGTCCCCGAAAGTTCGTTTGTGCAAAATTCATCCCAATTGTGAAAGTGTTGTGAGACATATAATAATGGGAGGTGTTTCAGTCATGGGTGACGTGACTGTATGCTGAAAGAACTGTGCAATTACTATTATAATTAAGCACAAGCTATCTGTAAGCAGTTTGGTGAGATTAAAAAAAAAGAGATCAGACCTTGGCCAGATAACAGTCAAGTCAGGAACTGATTGCAAATAAGTTTATCCCTCTTAACAGAGTTTAAGCAAAACAAACAAACAAACAAATACACTTGTCCAATATCAATCATGCTGTGAGACTCGGGCCTGGACTTTTAGGTCATGGGGAACTTTGCTTACAGCCTTCCTCGAACCTACGAACACACACTTTTCACAATGTAGGCAATTATAGGTCCACATACAAAAAGACATGAAATTCTGGGGCTGCAGAGGTAATGGAAAATGCATTGTAGGCCCTAAATGAAATATTAACCATGGCTGGTTATGAGCATTTTGGCTGGTGCAACTGGATAATATGTCGGTAGGAACACAGCTGAACAGTTTGTACAATAATTTGGTGAAAGAATGCTGGACAGGCAAAATAAGAGCTACTATAAACAATTTATTAGAATATGATAAGCATGGTATTTAGGAACTATAATACATTAAGACATTGATACAAAGATTTACATTGTTACCAGTATTCATTGAGATATCATTCATGACAAACCTCAGAAACTATTGACGCATTTGTTCCTCTGCTTTTCCCTATTTCTTCTGTACTTTTCCATGAGCCACCTAGATAGATGGGTTTGTCCGGTGTGAATTTCTAGTCCATAAAACCAGTAACTTTTGCAACACACATGAAGTAGCCACATTGAAAGGTCTGTGTTTTAACGCAAACACAATAAACATATACAACAGTCTAACAATATAGGAATTTTTCACCCATATAAAACACAAATGCAAGATTTTATTACAACTAGACAGGTAAATGTCTGCTCTCTCCAATTCTTTTTGTCGAAATCATGGTAATCAGAGACCAGCAGTTGGCATCATGGCTATGTCGCCGGACTCCCATGTAGTCTATCGTGGTTCGAATCCCAGACCCAGTGGCTTAAACTCATGTTGGGTGTGTGTGCGTAAGTGTCCAAGATCCCGAGAAGAGAATGGAGGAGAAGGGATTGCAGCATGGCCATGCCCCCGGGGGTGATTTCTTGCTTCCTGTCTCTCTGCCTCTCTGGTGAGTGCACATGCCCTACAGCAAAACCTCTCAAAAAAAAAACCAAAAACAAACAAACAAACAAAAAATCATGGTAATCATGGTAATCAACTTTTACTTATGGCTCCAAAGGTCATGAGAAAATCAACTGCCATTTAGTCTCTGAAGCAGTGATAAGTAGTGGTACATACAGCATGTGGGTATTTGAAAATTTTTCAGGTCTTTTTCTGTGTTCCAAAAAGTATAATTTTTGGAGAACACATACAGTCTCTATGACAAGGCATTTCTCCCACCTGAGAGTTCTCTGATGTTTCCTGAGATTTTATCACAAAAGTTTTTCCAAAAATCATTAATGGGTAAGTTTCTCTACTATGTACATCCTCCAAAGATATATAAGATGTTAATCTTGTGAGAAAGATTTTCTACGTCTTTACTTTTATAAGTTTCTATTCTATGGGAGGTCTTTCATACAGTTTAAGTTTCGACTTCTTAGCAGATTTCCCACATGGTCTACATTTAACAGCTCCTACAATGTACAGTGAGCTTTATAATATACAGTGCATTCTGAATTACAGAAGATTCACAACATATTAGCAAAAAATTTCTCCCATATGAGTTCTTTGACATACAGGGAGGTATAAGTTCTGGTTAGAAAGTTTACGTTAATTTTTTAAAAAACATCACAGTAAGTTGTAACTTCCTGTATAAAGTTTTCCTAAATCATTCATATTTAAAAGGCTTCTCTCTTCTGTGAGTTCTCAGATGTTTAGTAACGTGGCTTACAGGAGAAAAATTACCTCCATTCTTTTTATAAGGTTTCAATCTGGTGTGAGTTTTCTGATGTACAGTGAGGTATGTCTTCCGGGAGAATGTGAATTTACATTGTACACATTCATAGGGTTTCTCTCCTGTATGAATTCTCTGATGTATAGTGAGGTATGACTTCTGGGAGAATGTTTTCCTACACTGTTCACATTCATAGGGTTTCTCTCCTGTGTGAATTCTCTGATGTATAGTGAGATGTGTTCTAGTGTAGAACGTTTTCCTACATTGTTCACATTCAAAGGGTTTCTCTCCTGTGTGAATTCTCTGATGCACACTGAGTGCTGACTTCTGTAAGAATGTTTTCCTACATTGTTCGCATTCATGACGTTTCTCTCCTGTGTGACTTCTCTGATGAATAGTGAGGGATGACTTCTGGGAGAATGCTTTTCCACACTGTTCGCATTCATAGGGTTTTTCTCCTGTGTGAATTCTCTGATGTATTTTGAGTGTTGATTTCCGATAGAAGCATTTCCTACATGTCTCACATTCATAGGGTTTCTCTCCTGTGTGACTTCTCTGATGTACACTGAGTGCTGATTTTTGGAAGAACGCTTTCCTACATTGTTCACATTCATAGGGCCTCTCTCTTGTGTGAATTTTCTGATGTTTACTGAGTGCTGACTTCTGGAAGAATGTTTTCCTACATTGTTCACATTCATAAGGTCTCTTTCCTATGTGAGATCGCTGATGTCTAATTAAATATGATTTCCGGTAGAATGTTTTCTTACATCGTTCACATACATAGAGTTTCTCTTTTGTGTGAGTTTTCTGATGTATGGTCACGTCTGACTTCTGGGTGAATGTTTTTGTACAGTGTTCACGTTCATAGGACCTGTCTACCGTGTAGGTCCTCAGATGATCAGGAAGGTGTGAGTTCAGTAATAAGAATCCCCTGCATTCTTTACATTCACAGGGTTTTTCTCCAGTGTGAATTTTCTCAGGCATAATGAAAGTTGACTTCCAGGGGAAAGTTTCCCTGCATTGTTTGTATCCATAAGGTTTCTGTTCACCATGATTTCCCTGATGTACAGTGATTTTTGACTTTTGGAAAACAGCTTTTTGGCATTTATTATATTCATAGGGCTTTTCCCTTGTGAAGATTCTCTGAGAAACAGCTCCATCTGACGCCCGAAAGAAGGATTTCTCCTTACTTGCATAGGACTCTGTGCTTCTCAGGTGTACTGTAGAAAAGGGTTTTAAAAGAATTTCTCACATTCATATTTACAGTGTATCGTGCACACTTTCTGTTGACTAACTGGTATAATTAGACTTCTGGTAGAAAGTTTTCTTCTAGGCCTGAGTTATGCTATTTTATCATGTTTTACCATATTCATTTTGTTTACGACAGTCTTCTCCACATTAACCCTGTTATTGTCAATATTACCTTTGCTGGCAAGACCTTCTCTTGTTCACTGCATTCAAAATGCTGCTGTCTGGATTATATTAAGTGAGTCTAAATATAATGATTATAGTGAGTGAGAGATTTCCTAATTTGTAGGTATTAGGGTTCTCTCTGGCATATACTTTATCAGGCCAAGGAGAAGTGTATTTCCACATAAATTAATCTCAGGCCTTATTCCTGAATACTTTTCATTATTTGAATTGTTTCAAAATAGTGTATGAACTCAAATATTTCTCTATATTCAACTCTCTCCTTAGTTGCTGCTACTGATGATTAGAACTTGCCAAAAATGTGTGTCTTGATTTCCATTTCTGCTCTATCATGTCATCTACTTTTGCAACATCCTTAAAGAGAAAAAGATAACTCTATCTGTGTATCATATCTAACAAAGACTTCTCTAAAGTTCATGAATGAAACAAGTAAATAGAAATAAATTATTTTCTGTATTTAAAAACTGTCACTGATGTATAATAATTTTTTCCTTAGAAATTATACCTATTTACAGTAATAGAGATTTAAAACTTGAGTCATGCTTTACTTTGCTCCTTTATGTTTCTCTTGTATCTATTAAAATACCTAGACAAAGCTATCTACCTACTGCTTTACTATGGTTTTACTCTACAAGTTTTATCCTGTGTATTTCCTGTCCTTTGTCTCATAACTGTGAGTACTGTGTGCTGCTTCTTTACTTAAGTTAACATTTTCCTGGAAGACTTACTATTTGCAAAATTCAAAATGGAACTGTTTTTCACCAAAGTAGAAATGTTCTTAAGAAAGGATTAGTGTCCAATGAAAATAAATACTCATCTCCCTAAGCCTGCCTTCCTTTGGGACCCCTTCAGAAATAATATACTCCATTGTCCCACACTCTTATCCCAGTAAAACATTCTCTACATTTTTTATCTCACAACTATAAATACTCATTTTATTTTCCTTTCTCAATCAAACATAAGTTCTTTGACATGAAATAAATTAAATTAGTCTAATTTAGTCAGTCTCTAATTTAATTTAGCATGGACTGACTAACCTGGGAGTTTCTGGTTGCAGAGTTCTAATGTCCATGGCTCTCCTCCTTGCTCCAACTTAAAGATCACTGCAGATTTGGCAATGCAGTGTCCTGTTAATGGAAAATAGTGGGAAATTTTGTCAAGATGTCAACCTATTTGAAGAGTAAGAACAGACCTGCTTCATCAGCTGTGCAATGAAGGGGCTAATTTGAGCCTTTGTTAAAGAGTAGTGCCACTCACATTAAGCAAAGAATGAAATCTCACCGCAAAATAGCATTAGCAGCCATAAAGCTCAGCCATAAAACTTTTGCCTATTTAGTATGAAACAAGACAGGGATTACTTTAGGGAGACACATGGGGGTTCCACTCACCCAAGAACACCAGGCTGCTGTAGATCTCCAGCATCACATCCTTGTATAGGGTTCTCTGAGCATCTTCAAGGATCTGCCACTCCTCCCAGGTAAAGTGAACAGCCACATCCTCTAATGAGATGAACCCCTGTAAAAATATATTTCCCCCGAACTCATGAGCCCCAGGAACTAGAAGAAAAATACGAGATTTTACTTTTTCTGCATTTTTTGGCATTCTACATACGGAGAGAAAACATTTCAAAGTAAAAACTTACTACCTCTGTACTAACTCATTCATTACTAAGAGTATTATGAGTGCTTCCCCTACAGATATGTAAATATTCTTATTGCAAGGGGCAAAGAGCATAATTAAGATTGCTACTCTAAGGCGCTTACAGTCTCATATAAACAGAAATGTAAATATACATCTGGAATAAGTGTTGGCTAGCTAATTTGGAAACAGATTCATTTTAGACCAGACTAACAAAAACAAGGTTTGTTTATTTTTTTTCCTTCTGTATTATCAGGTTGAGATTCAATGAAAAGCCAAAAGTGTTTATATCTTGTATGTGAACATTCTTATGACAATGGAAGTATAGAAATTCTCTCATAAAAGCAGAAAGAGCACACCTTATACTGACAGTTGAAACAGTATATGTGTGACAAAAAAAAAACACAGTAAGCTATTGAAAGAAATGATTGTACAAAGTGACTTTATATTTAAATACTTGACCATATTTCGATAAAACATTTCATAAGCTTGCAGTTAATAAATTAGTTATAGGTTTGCATATGTTTACAGGCATATTTATATTGCCCTTATGCATCCAGAAGTATTGATAATGTCCACAAAGATGAACATCACCCACTTCCTAAAGCACAAAGCATAAATAATGGCACACGGTAGCATGTTACAGGACCAGATTTTCATTTTATCAGCCACACTCAGACCACAGAATAAGGATGAGCTTAAGGAACTGTGACATGATTAAAATCAAGTTTAAATATGACTACCTAAAACAGAAGTACCTGTACTCAATAGGGAAGTCATCCTATCAAGAAACCGCTGGAAGATAATTTAGTACTCATTTGCCTTGGAGTGGATGAAAAGAGATTAATTGCATGCTTTCTGATAAAACAGACACATTAAAACTGGGACAAAAATATGAGCAACAGAGAAAAGAATTTTGGAAAAATCATGTTCAAAGTTTCTGTAGCCAAATATCTAGGGAGCAGCAGAAACTCAGTAGCAGCTGAGCTGACATGATACTAATGAATGAAAGTGAACCTAGGCTCAACTCTCGTGCTCAAAGAAAATGTAAGACTGAAAATAAAAGACAGAAACTCAGAAAACCACTAATAGATATGATTAAGAAAGAGAACAGGACCATGACAAATAAGAATTTTTTTTGACTTTTGGATATACACTCAACAGAGAAAGAGATACAGAAAGAGGCAAGAGAAACGAGAAATCATCTCTGAAAAATCCAATGCCCAGACTACCACCATGGATTCCAAAAATCCCAACCACAGAAGGAAACTGACACATAGCTAACACCTCATAGGGAAGTGAAAGAACAAGCAGCTACAGATGTAAAAAGTTAGACCTACCACCTCACCTCCATCTCAAGCTGGCAAGAGAGCTATACCATCTTGCAGGCCAGTGAATAGGTGGAACACTATCGAAAAACAAGTTTCCAATGCCCAGAGAAAGCAATGGAAATTTTAAAAAAGCACCCCATGACAAAAAAGACTTAAAATTTGAGCACTATCCCTTGTATGGGCGGGAGGGCAGATCTGTGCTTTCCCTATTATCAGTATCAAATCCTGGGTAACAGTTACTCTGATGATGAACAGTTCAACTGATGCCACTATGACACAGCTCTTCTCAATGCCCACAAACTATTTCATGTACAGAGAACAAAAATCCTAATCTCATATAAAAATATAGCCTTTTGTCAGAGACATACCCAGAACCTAGATCTGTTCTTGCCTCACTCACACTAAACAACTTATTCCAAAAATTAAGAAGCAGTTCTTCATCAGATGCATAAAACAAATAAAAAGAGACACAAGAAATACGAGGAAACAAGGAAATATTTCTCTCCAAAAGGAACAAAACAACGGGTCAACAACAGATAAAGACAAAATAATTCAGAAATGTCAGTAAAAGAATTCAGAATAGTCACCATAAGAGAACCCAACAAAATGCAAGAAGAGAAAATCATCTCTAGAAGCCAGGAAAACCACGGTATAACAAAAAGAAGCTCCTAAAGAGATAAATGCCTTAAAAGAAAAAGAAACTTTCAGATACTAAGAAAATAAAGAAAATAAAAACCCTCCTCAAAAGGTTGGACGACCAATTAGACTACACATAAGAAACTGAACTTAAAGACAAAACCTCTTAGTCTAAGCAACCAGGATGAAAATATAACCAAAAAATATGAAAAACATTTCAGAAATACTAGACATTGTTAAGCAACTGAATATCCACATAACAGTATTCCAGAAGGGAAAGATGGGTAAAGTCATAGAATATCTCTTCCAAGAAATACCATTTGAAAATGTCCCATATCTAGAGAAACAGACATCCAGATCCAGATAAAACAAAGAATGCCAAATAGAATCAACCTATGAACATCCTCTCCAAGACACACCATACCCAAATTGAGAAAAGCCAAAAACAAACTTCTAAAGATTGCGAGAAAGAAGCATAAACTTACTTACAAATAGTATCCCATCAAACTAAACTCAGACATCTCAGCAGAAACCATGAAAGCAAGAAGGGAACAGAAGACCTGCTTAATACTTGGAAAGAAAAATAATTTCAACCAACAATACTATACCCTTCAAGATTATCCTTCAAATGAGCATGAGAAGTAAAATCATTCCCAGATAAACAAAATCTGAAAGAACTCAGCAACTCTAGACCAGCTCTATAGGAAAGAATTAAAGGAATAACAGGAAAATGAAAGGGAGATAAATAGAAGAGAAAACACACAAAGAATATGACTAACAAAATGGCAGGGATAAGTATACGATATCAAAAATAATGTTGAATATTAACAGATTAAGGTCTCCAAAAAACAGACTGGCTGAATGGACTAAAATAGACACCTATATGGTATTCCAAGAAACACGTCTCATTGATAAAGACATACAGAGATTGAAGGGCTGGAAAAAGTCATTTTATGGAAACAGGAAAAAAGAATTCTGGAGTTATGATACTGGTATCAGACACTAGTCTTCAAGACAAAAAAGGAAAAAAAAAAACACTAAATAGTTCTAAAATAATCAATTCACCAGGAAAATATAAGTATCATAAATATTTAGAAACCCAACACTAGGGCAGCCAAATATGTGAAAGAAAGAATGCCAGATTTAAAAGGAAAAATAAGACTGCAGGGGCTGGCAGGTGATGTGGTGGTTAAGGACACTGGACTCTCACATGGCTGATTGCTGTTCGAGTCCCAGACCTGAAGGCTTACTTCTCACTTCCCTGCTCCCCGCCTTGCTCTTGCTCTGTCCCTCTCTGGTCAAATTAAAAATAAATAAATAAATAAAGTTAAAAATTAAAAAAAAAAAAAAGACTGCAACACACTAACTATTGGGGAATTCAACATCCCAGAGTCACCACTGTATAGATCATATACACACAAAAAATTGACATACACGAACTAAATGATACCCTAACTCAAATAGACCTGACAAAGATTTGTGGAACATTTCACTCAACAATCACAATATACATCTTTTTCTCATCACTATGTGAAACATATTCAAATAGCCACATGATAAAGCACAAAACTAGCCTTTATAATAATTTCAAAGTGTAGCAAGTATATCCAGCATCTTTTCCATCCAGAATGGAATTGGATCTGAAATGTAAAGCGTCTGAAAATACACATAAAGATGGGAGAAAAAAATCTATTGCTGAACAACTTTGAAACTGAGTCCTGGACTTGGCTTAAAATTCACACAGGTGGGACCAGCAGTTAGCATAATGGCTTTATCGCTGGACTCCCATGTAGTCAACCTTGGTTCGCGTCCCAGACCTGGTGGCTTAAATAAACTCACGCCGGGTGCATGTGCGTGCATACCCAAGATCCCGAGAGGAGAATGGAGGAGAAGGGATTGTGGCGTGGCCATCCCCCTTGGGGGTGATTTCTCACATTCTGTCTCTCTGTCTGTCTGTCTGGCGAGCGCATGTGCCCTACAAGCAAAAACCTATCCCAAAACAAAACACCTTTACACAGGTGCATATGTGTGTGTGCCTCATAAAAGACACATACCCTAATGGAACATAACAGAAATCCAAAATCAGCCAACTGATTTTTTAACAAAGGGCACAATACAGTCCAGTAGGCCAGAGCTTTTCTGGGAAAACTGGATACCCATTTGCAAAAAACCAAACTAGGTATCTATCTCACCATTCATAAAACCACCTCAAAATGGATTGCAGATTTAAAAGTTAAGCCTCAAATGTTAATACTTGTGGAAAATACTGGGGGGGACATTTGAACACAGGAGCAGGCAAAGATTTCTTACACCTAAAACATAGGCAACAATTCCAAAGACAGACAAAGTGGGATTACATCAAGACTAAAAGCATCTGCACAGCAACGGAAACAGTGAAAGACAATCAACAGAATGCGAGAAAATGTTTGCAAACTATACTGATTATCACAAGTCACTGATAACCAGAACGTATTAACAACTCAATTCACTCAACTCACAAAACTAATAGTTCATTTTAAAAATGGGCAATTTATCTGAACAGACAAGCCTCATGAATGACCATAAATCACATGAAAAAATGTTTTAATGAAACTTATTATAAGGGAAATGCAAATCCAAACCACAATGATTGTCCACCTAATCCCAGTTAGAATGGCCATGACCCAAAGAACAAATACTGGGAAGGTTGTGCTGCACTCTTGGTGGAAATGTAAATTAAGTCATCCTGGAAAACAATATGGAGAACTCTTGAAAATCAATAAATAAAAATATTATATGACCAAGGACTCTGACTCCTCAAATATTTGCCCAAAGTACAAGATGTTAAGGAGACACTTGCACACCCATGTTTACTGCAGTATTCACAATAGATAAACAATCACCTATGTGTTTAACAACTGATGACTACAT